AACAGATCGCCGACCACTCCTCATCCGGTATATCAACTACGACGGCATCACCGTCAATCGCCAGACCGGACAGTGTAACAACGTCCTCTAACGTGATCGTCATCTCACCACACGGTAGATGGAAGGTCGACGTCTCGGGGCGCCACCGCTCTACGAGCGCAGTAATCAAACTAGCATCGGGGTTCATAGGGACTAGGGGCACGACACTAAACAAGCCTGCCGCTTCGAGATATGGCCGATAAACCTCATGGTAAGGTACTAAAATGGTCGTACCTCGAACATGGTACGGTCGATCACCAGCCTATAGTGCACAAAACTTATATTAATTCATTTTCATTCGTAATAATTCTAATTTCACCTAATAAATTCTAATCTGTCTTATCTAACATAAAATTATACTAATTTGAAATTATACTAATTTCACCTAACAGTTCAGTTCACTACCTAAAATAATCTAATTAGCTAATTAACTTTACATGAATAATTATCAAATACTTACCTCGTTTGTCCAAACAGAGTCGATACGATGTTGGCCGTGTCCCCAAAGAAGTGTCGGATCGACCGGACTTGGATCAATTGTCGCCGGCGGTAATCTCATCGAATAAGGATCCATAAGCCTCGGAACTGCAAAAACAAAGCAACAAAACATTAAAAAAAAAACACAAAACATTAAAAAAAATCAAACTGCCGACGAGAGTCTCACCGCGCAAACGGCCGCCGACTCCACCACGACCTCGCCGACCTCTCCCTCTGCCTCTGCCGGCGCCGAGTGGTTCTTCGTCGGAGGACATCTCGGGCGGTGGCGGGTCAGTCAAAGGCGCTGGTGCTACTGTCAAAGGCGGCGGCGCCGAGGTCTGGGACGGGGGCGCTCGTGACTGCGGCGGCGGCGGCGAGGACTGCGGCAGCGGCGGCGAGGACTGGGGCGGCGGCGCCGAGGTCTGGGGCGGCGGCGCCGAGGTCTGGGGCTGTAGCGGCGGTCTGGTTCGCACAGGGTTGGGGGCAGGTTCGCGGGTTTGGGGGAAGAAGAAGAAGGATTTGTGTGGTGTGGGAGGAGGGGATAAGGTGGGAGGATAAGGAAGGGACCGTCCGAAATTTTAAAATAAAAGAGTTTGGGGCGCTACCGCCTGAGTCTCGGGCGCTGGCGCCCGAGACTAATTAAAAAATATGTTCCAGGCGGGGCCGCTTGAGACTGGGGCGCCGGCGCCCAGGACTGGGTAAAATACCAGTCCCGCCTGAGTCTCAGGTGGTCCAGCCCCAGTCCTTACTAAAAAACACAATATTTGTGTCAATAGTTTTTAATTTGTAATATTCGTGGTAAATTAAAAAAAAAACAATATTTGTGTCATTCTCCCTCATTTTTTTGGTTTTTCTTGTATCCTTTGCTAGAAACAGAAATAATAATACCACCGGTTTCTTTTAACTGTTTTCAGAAGTGGTTTTCCATCGATTATTTCTCTAAATTAAATTTATTAGGGATATTCTGTATATAATTGAAACCAAAAAAAATATTAAACTAATATTATTAGAGATATTTTAGACATAGCTGAAATTTTTTAATAGAAGGACATGTTAATTTGATGGTTTTTAAAAAATGCAAGGATATATATATATATATATTTGATGTAAAAAAATTAGAAGAATGTTTGATAAAGGTATATAGTAGAGAGAGGGACATATGATACGTAGGCGGAATCTGTAGTGCAGTCACTGCACTAATGCCGTCATCCTAAAAGCCGCTGGATTTCCAAAGTGTAATGAGGATCGTTGATTACGACCCTCACTTAACCATAGTAGGTTGAACCGGCAGGTTGAACCCATTGTATATTTAAATAATTTATTATATATATTTTAATGTTGAAAGTTGAAACAGAAGGAAAACGCTTGGTCGTTTCACTATTCAGAAATAATTATTTGTTTATTTTCTTGCTTCTCATTGCCGTTGCCGAAATATCCTGCTCAGTCGTTAGTCGAACAGTTTTCTCAGGAAAACGAATACAGTAGGTATCTCTTGATCGCCGGCAGGAAGGGGAGGCGAACATAAAACGAATTCGCAGTTCATCTTCTTGTCCTCACTTCATCCGTCCACCGAGCGCCGACACGAGACGAAGGTGCTCGGTTTCTCGGTCTCGTTCCTCCGGCCGCCGACTGGAATCGTTGTTCCTCCCGCCGAGCGCCGGCGAACTGAAGAAGACCTCCCTCCGCTGTCTCTATTCTCCCTTGCTTGCCTCCTCTCACCGCCGGCCTACCTCCTTGCCTCAATAATCAACTGAGGTAATTACTGCCTCCCTTGCCTCATTTGTTTTACTTGCTACAAACCATTAGTAATTGACTAATTGTCTCTTTGTTTTGATTGCTCATTTATTTGTTTGGCAGCCATGGCCAGTGGAGAAGGAAGTGAATCGGTTGAGCAAGAACAAGCTTCTAATCAAACCATTAGCTTCTAATCCCCACTTTTTTTTTCCATCCGATTGACTTCCTTCTCCACTGGCCATGGGAATCTGATCACACTATTCCTACAATCTATCACGACAAAGTTGTATTCTCCAAATAGCCGCCGAAAAGAATTATACTCTGGGACCATTTTCTGCGGAATCCCTCCGTATAGCTACGCTGCAACACCATTCTCACAGCTGGACTTATTGGTGGCTGAAACCGAAAGCAAGTTCAGGTTTGTTGTAATCCTATTGCTTCTTCAGGACTGTCTCCGATTGTTCCCATGCTTCTTAAGTAACTGTGATTTGCTAAATCGGATGATTGATGCTATTGTTGTTTGAACTTGGCTTGCTCTGTAAATGCATGCATAGGATCGAGTTTCAAAGGGTACATGAATGTGAAATAGAACAAAATCAATGGTCATTCGAATATGAAGTCATATAATTACCTGCTAGAAATAAGTTCAGTTTGGCCGGAATTGACATGAGTTAAGCTGTGCTTGGAGGCAGCAATTTGTCTGCTGAAACCACCCCAAGCTTTTGAGGATTTACTTATTTGTTTGGGGATTCTGGGGAAGGATCATAAATATTTCTAGAACCCCTTTGTCTTTGTCTGTGATGTAACTTTGCAGAGGATAGAGTCACACTGCCTATATGAGCTATTTGGTTTTGTTTGAAGCCAATAAAGGTTCTCCTTGCACTTGCAGCTTTGTCTGACATATTTGGTGCAGTGGTTCTTGACAAGGAGCATGAGCTATCTGTGCTGATGTTAATAACCTCCACTCCCTTGTCTTTGTTGTGCTTCATTCCACTTTCATAAGGATCACCAGGTCTTGGTGTAGCAAACTTCTCCATCAACCAGTCTCTTAAAGAATCTAGCGATCTCTTCAATTCACTTATGTTTTGCTCCATATCATTCCTCAATGCTAACTGATTCACTTTCAACTCTTCCATAAGAGAATACAGTTTTGACATCTACATAGGAAACATCACAGAGTTGCTTAACAATCTTTTTGGATAGGTTTTATTTTGTCAAGGGGTGAGTGCAATGTTTTAGACATGAAAAACGGAGTACATTGAAAGAAACAAAATACAATGAGAAAACAAATGCTGACAGCCTAAAACAAAAGAAGATAAGCCAAAAATATTGATGTAGATTGTGCAAAATTGCCAGATATGAATACAATAATTGTTATTTGGGTTGCAGGCTTTGGAAGCTGTACAAAGAGTAGCAGCTCATAAGTAGAAGTAAAGTTATAAGGCTATGGACTAAATTATATGGTTCTATCTACAGCTATGCCTTTGCATCTAAGTTATAAGCTGGAATTTTATTGTAATAGTACCTTAATGTGTTCGTAAGTCCTAAGTTCTTTAATTACTAAAATTGATTTCAGTTGTACCGAACACCAAAGTAAATAGACTTCTATCTATCCAAGTTCAGCAAGGGCAAGCAGCAGCAGAAGGATCATAAAGACAACAGGGCAGGAGCATAGATGGTCGAGCAATGACATTCAAAAGGAGTGAAAATTGATAAAGAAAATGAATAGCACAACTAGCCATAACCAACTTGAAAGGAACCTTGATCTGCAGTAGCAGAGTTAGACTAGCTGATAGGTTTGATAAAGTAGGCTATCTGGGATTTCAGTTCTGAGTCCCAGCTTATTGTTTTCTCCAGCAAACTTTATTCGTGTTCTTCTTCATTATTAATGATATAATCACCATTAGCACACAATAAAAACCCTTTACAGTCTAACAAATACACATGCTATTATCCTTTTTGAAGAAAGCTAGGGTCAAATAACTTCAAAATCACGAAAATATGATGAAATGTCAGCTGAAAAAGGAATGCCATGTTAGGGAAGATATTCTGACAGGTGCTTTTATGGAAGACGGTTCAACGAAGGTATCCTCTGAGGGACTCCAAAGTTATACAGGGAGTGGTATTCAAGTTCAACGGATGCCAATTCTACCATCTAAGCAAATTTTTGACAAAGGCACAACAATTCTTACTACAAAAAACCAAAAATACAAAAGGTATTATGAAAATAGTAAGCGAATACCTAGTTCATCTCATTTGTGTCATTTGATTCCGGCATTCTCTTTTCCAAGCTGGAACAAAAAAAACAAGAAGTTAGGCAGAGCCATAAGAGATGCTCATTAAGCAAATAACCAGCTTAGAGAAACAAAGAACGAACCCTTCCATTGCACCAAATGATGTTTCTGTTTGTTTGAAAAGCCTACGCCATATACCAATACAAACCAAAATATATATATGAACCTGTAACTAGTTGAGATAAGGGAGGAGTTCTAGCTCCGTTGGGGTTTGTTACTTGTCTAAATCAAAAAGGATTCACATGACTTTTCCATGGCAACCAACCACAAAAATAGAAAATTAAGTAGAAGATTTGGGAAGGGATTTATGATAAGTACACTCAGATTTGAAACCATCCAAATACACATTATGTTGTTCACCCAATCTCCACAATCTAACGCATTCAGGAATTATCCAACAAATACCCAAATCAAAAGGATACTGAAGACTTATCTCATACAAGCTAAAAGCGGATTTTAGGTCACGTATCCTTTCATTGCCTCTGCTGACGATGGGTATTTCGACTGAGTCGGCGATCTTCGTGCTGCTGCCTGAACAGCGGCAACGACGATGATGATGTTCGATTGCCACGGTAGGGACATTGTTGGGAATGACCGGGCAGCCAGAACGGATATGATGCTCCCTGCAGACCTCTCCTGCTGCTGAAGAAACAGCTGTGGCTTAAGCTCTATCACCTGCTGCTGCCCTTGGTACGAGCTAGTACCATGACCAATGTTCCCAAGAGCTAGCGGTGCTGATGGCACACCATTGAACCCAGTCGCTGTAACGCCACCATCCATCAAGCCGATCGCCTCCTGCTGCTGAAACTGCCTCTACTGCTACTGCTGTTCATTATAAGCCCTCAACATCTCCTGTTGCTGGGCCGCCTCGTACATCTGCTGCATTTGAAGCCGGTGATGAAATTGAATCGGGGGTTGGGGAGCCTTGATGACGATGGCGATTTCGATGGTGTCGCGGCAGAAACGAAGGGCGGCGATGACCAGAAGGCGGATACGGGTGTGACGACGGTGGTGATTTTGGTGGTGAGGTCGATCGACGACAATAGCGAGGTGGTGGATTGCTCGCCGGAAGTCTTGGATTGGTTTACAAAGTCACGAACAAAGGAGTGGAAGGGAATGGCTGTGCTATTTTTTGTTTATTGTTTCTCACTTTTTTTATTTATTTATGATTTATTAATTGAATTATCGAGCCGGGGCCACCCAGTAATTTACAAACTCAACCATTCCAACCGGTCAGAAAAAAGTGGCGGCACTGGTACAGTGCCTGTACCACAGAATTCCCCATGATACGTACTCTTAACACTTTATTTTAGTTAGCTTCAACATATCACTGTAAGAAAAAAAAAACAGATCACTGCATAGTTCATAATTAGAGAAGCCAGATCATTTACGAATCTATTGGTTATATTATGTAGCTATCCAGATGGGCTTCAGGACATGGTACGAGGATGGAGATGGAAATATCATTATTGTGGTTTTGTAGCAACTCGCATGTGCTAACCCTAGATTCGGAGCAGTTATTGTTCAGTTTATGTTACCAGATGCAAGTCTGTTACGTTGTATCAATATCATATTGAGCTAGCAAAGTGCCAAGAGCCATTAAAATATATATTGCATTGCATTCCGTGAACTGGCTGCCAAAGCAAAGAGCTGGAAGATAAAAGGGGTAACGAATTTATGAGGATGAAATATTGTAGGGGGAAAAGGAAAATGAACATGTAATTGGTAGCAATTTTAGAGTTTGAGCTCCAGCTCGTTGTATGTATACATGGTACATCAATCCTTGTCGAATTCAATTAGTTGAAACGAAGCGGAGAATCGAGGATAAGCCGATTGTTTCTTTCGACATATTGAGCATTATGTTGGTTAATATCGGTGATCTACTTACTATATAGGATTAGTCTTTGCTAACAGCTTGTTATGCATATAAAAAAAAACGTTATTTGTGTTTTGTTTGCTGAGTGCAAATTAGTTGGAAATAAACCAATCCCATTGAGTCACGAGTCGGGCTTCGGTTTAAGGGATTCAAATGGCGGTTAGTACTATAGCTTAGCCATTGTAACTCTTTCTTCCTGCAGTATAAATAGAAAACAACTAAAGAGAGGATAGTAGGTTTTCTGCTGCTCCTCCACCCCAAATCATTCGCCTTTCTTCTTATGGTATCAGAGCAGAGTACTTTCGTTCATGCATTCTTGTTTTGAGCAGCAACTGAGGCGATTGCGACCGGTGGTGATGAAAAATCAGCAACAAACACCCTGGAGCTACTAGTGGAGGAGGATCTGTTGTTACCCCTTCTTAGTTTCTCTTTGGTAACCATTTCTATCAAAACCCTAATGTGAATCTTTCTCAATCCATCGTGTCTGCAGTTCTAGATGGTAGTAATTACTAGAGGTGTGCTAGATTGTTCGTATAGCCCTTAAAACCAAGTATAAACTTGGGTTTATTGATGGGTCGATTGAAGTACCAGATCAGAAGGATAATATCCTTATGAGTATAGGGACTCATATGCTTGCAGTACAATTGTTTTGTGTTGGATAATGAATTCCCTACATAAGGATATTAAGCAAAGTGTCCAGAATCCTGAGGTAGCTCAACTATTATGAGAAGAGCTCAAGAACATATTTGAACAAACAAATGCCATCAAATTGACTAACCTAGAACATGAAATCCATGGTACTAAGCAAGAAACTACGACTATAAGTCAGTATTATACTCTAATGAAGGGGTTATGGGAAGAATATACCATGTTCAACCCCATTGTTCCTTACACATGTGCACTAGGACAGATACTACCTGGTCCAGAAGTGGAAGCTTTCGAGACTAAGCAAGAGACGATTATCTTGTCAGTTTTTCAAGAGGAGTTGGACCTGCATTTGATGTACTGAAGACTCAGTTGTTGATGATGAAGCCACCACTTTTAGTGGTTGCTGCTTATAACAAAAGCAGAAAGGAGATAAGGAAAAGAGCACTCAATCTATAGCATTATCATCTTTTGGGAATCAAGTCGGACAAGGCAATACTGAGGACAGACAACCACCTAATTGTAGATTGGTGGAAGCTGAAAAGAAAGAGCAATGATCAAAGTCCTGGAAATGGACCACGATTTGCACCAACAGTGAATGAAGGGGAAGAAGGGAACGTTGAAGCATTTTATGAATCATTGTTATTGCTTACCTCTCTTCTTTTCTTATTGGCTATAATGGGTTTAGTATCCTCCTTAAGGATATGGGTCTAAGGACTAATCCTACCTATAGATTTTGCTACTTTTTTGCAAAATTTACATGTAATTTTACATGATTTTGAGAGTTGAGAGAAGTATTAGGGCTGGTTATTTGGTCCGAGTTTTTCGGTTTAACCTGAACCCGAATCGTAAAAACCCAGACCGTTTGAGACCGGGACCGGATATAAAACAATCAAATCCCAGACCAATCCAATCCGGGTCAAAATCGTAAGACCGGATAAGGGTCTTAAAGTTAGCCCACTGCCCAGCAAACACCAACCCACTGGCCTGCCCAGTGCCCAAACCCGACGACCCTCTTCACTTTTATCACCAAGCTAAATTGTTAAAAATTAGAAGCCCAAACCCAAATGGATTCTGCGTGCGGTGATGAACTATGAATAGGTGAGACATATTACCCATGATTAGCTAGCTCAATTATTTGTGATGAATTATTCACAGGGCCTCTCTCTGCTGCATTAATGTCTTGCACTTTCTTCAACCAAAATAAATCTGATTCTGTCTGTATTGGTCTTCCAGTTAATCTGTTAATCTATCTACTTCCCTTTCCCGGATTTACTTGAACCAAATAAAAAATAAAAAATTAACAGTCTCACATCAACTTTTTTTCGCACTTTCTCCCAATTCTAAGAAATTATGCTTCCGAGTCCATTTGCTTGCATACAACTCTGACTACTATATAACAATTGTGGATTTAAGATTTATTGCACCGACTTTTCTTATTTTAGTTATATCCTCCTTTCTGTGTTAGATTGAGAATAAACTAGTTACTCTGATTATCTGTGTATTATCTATTTATTCATGTATGATACTCTTATCAGCTATCTTTAATCAGACATGTCAGAAGTTTTAACGTTTGACGTTACATTCACGTTATACTTCTGAAAGTTTAGAATCTTTTTCATATTATATATATATGTATATGATGGGTTTTAATAACTGTTTATATCAAATTCCCACTATCACCCCCATGTAGTTCCAAGACTACTAAACGGAATCATGCACGGAATTAGAGAAATGGGAGAACCTTAGTTTGAATCTGAAGGGAAAGGTATTTGTTTAAAAGTTGGCATAATAAGTGGATACCTAGTTCAAAGCTTACAAGGATCTGAAAAACCGCTTGTAATTAAGGGCTCTTAGCTTGATCAACCACCCACAAATGGAAGATTTAACTAATCAAGGAACTACACCTAAAACCTCTTTTACCAATGACAGCGTAGAAATCCTGTCCTATGAGTGCACATTTCGAAACCGTAATTTTCTACTTTTTTGGTTGAATGAAACCCTAATTTTCATATATCCACTTTTATGTTTACTTTTCGGTTTTGCTGAGCAATGAATATCTTCTTTTTTTTTTTTTACTTTTTTTTGTGAATATCTTTGATGAAAGTTGTATGCAAGAAAATTGACAATACATTATATGTTCTAACTTTAACTAAAATTTAGTTTGTAGATCAAAATAAGGCCTCACACTATATTATCATTTTCTTATCTTCTTTTTATTTTCTTATTGACTCGTATCACTTTATTTTAATTTATTTTCAAAAAAATTGAACAAATTGTGATTTATATCCATTTTGATCATTTGTTAGTGCAAAAACTCAAGACTAAGTAAACCACCATGCTATAGTTTTTTTTTTTTTTCAATAGTGACACAGTTTTTATGCTATTATCATCTTGGACATCTTGATCAGGATGGCTAATACGTGTGCTAAGTTGTCCTGCAATTGTATCATCATTGTACTTTTATTTTTTTTGCCAAAAGATACTTCGTATTGAATGAGATAACCGAGACAAAAGAGTCGGCTGGTCGACCAGAGGTAGGAACGAAAATCGAACCCTATCAAACTAGGGAACAATGGAAGGGCTTTTTTGGCCACCATATGGGCCACCCTATTACGAGCACAACCAGCAAAACAAACGCTAAACTGGTGGAAATATTGTCTCATTAACTTAATCTCGCACAAAATCGCCCCACCACGAGCATCCAAACACGAGTCCTCTATAACCTTGTCCAGCACCACCTGAGCATCTCCGGCGAAAACGAAATCTTGTACGCCCATCTAAAGCGCCCATCGGATCCCATTCCTCAAGGCCAGAAGCTCCACCAAGAAAGGGTCTTGCACATCTGGGTACAAAGAAGCATTAGCATCAAGCAGCGTTCCTGAGGTGTCCTCCAGAACCCAGCCACCTGCACCATGGGAACCCGAACAAACGGCTCCATCCGTGAATACCCATATCGCCCCCTCCCTACCCTGCACCCCACCTCGGTCCCCCCTCAGCCCGTCCTCAGGAGTAGGGAAAGACGTAGACCCACTGCCCGAAGGCACCACCTCCCACTCCGCTACCTATCTATTGAACTGAGAGAGAAACACAAAGGGCGTGAATAGCGTGGAGTCAAAGACAATCCAGTTCCGAGCCTTCCATATACGCCAGAAGAGAGCGATTACCCGCATAAGCAGCCCCCATCCAAGTTTGGATGGTCAAGAAACCGCTGCCAGAAAACTTTGATTGAGGCAAATGTGAACTCATCTCGAAAAAA